ATCAGTGTGGTGATTAATTATGTTTTTGTCGTGATGATATTTGCCATGTGTGGTCTGATGTTGGACAAGGCACAACAGAGATCACTGTCCACATCAAGCTGGCAAGGCTGTTTTGTTTTATATCTGTTAAAGCTGACAGTCTGAATTACAAGTACATATGCTCTTAGTTTGAAAATTAGTTGACCTCCCACCCACTCCAAAGTTCCTCAAGCCCCTTGGGGGAGGAGGGGGGGGGGGGATTGCATCCCCCCCCCTTTAATTCCAAGAATGGTGACCACTGTTTAAGAGCATGTCCACAAACGGCTTCTGCCCAAGTTTGAAGTTCTTCATGTCAAATAATTTCTTGTGGCATCTACAATGGTCTACTTTTGCTGCCTCGGAACACGAGGGCTCAATCACCTTAACATCTCTCCCCCCCCCCCCACCCCCACCTCACCACCACCAAATAAATAAATTGTACGGGGACAAAGAGGCCCCCTTTTATCTACGTGTAGAAAGCGTCAATAACAAATGTTTATTTATGCACCGCACTTTGTTAAGTATATTACTATATTTATTGTTCATTTACCACGTTCGCCCTGATATAACAATAAATATAATAATAATTAAACTAATAATAATGTGTATAATTGTATAATGCTTAGTAATTTAAATGACAAACTTGAATTACTACGAAATGTATAAACAAATAGTTTTAAACGAGAATTTCTAAATATAGCCAAAAAAGTCATAACCTCTTTACACAATTATGCAAGGGCAGGAGGGAATTTGCAGCCCCCTCTCTAATTTTGTCTGGGGTGCTCGGAGGCAAAAGCGCCCCCTCCCCCGCCCCGCCCAGCCCCTACTTATCTTTTTTAATACAAAATGTGTAAGGCCGCCCTAAAGCATGATTTCTTTGTGTCAGCGCACCTTAGCTAGGCTTCATTTGACCTCTGCAACGGGAGTAAATAAGCATAGTCAAGACACAAGTGCACATCCACTCGCAGAGCTGAGGGTCACGATGCCATTACACTCGCCGATATGCCTAATTAGACACCACTCAGAATAGCGTTTTAATTTCATTATTTAAGAAAAAAAGGCGCAGTATAATGTTCTCATGGTCTCTGCCGTGTAGCGTTGGTAGTCGCATCTAAATCCACAACCTTGTGTCTCGTGTACTATAAGTCTGGTCCGACATAGATGATCTTCCATGTCAAGATCAAGTATCTTCTCTCTCGGTCTCTCTCTGGTTCTTTTCCCCCCTCAAACTTTCCCACTGTCACCATGCACTCCAGATGTGCGAGTTCATATAATCTTGACGTTAATGCACATCACATCACATCATCACATCACATCACATCACATTACATCACATCACATCACATCACATTACACGATAGGCTGCAAAGAGAACCGATAAAAACACACATGCAGAATATGATGTCGAGATAAGACGCGTTAAATCCACTTAAAATGTTTATCTCAGAATATGAAAAGTGATCCCTAGAGCCAGCGAAAGAAATGTATCGTGCATGTTAGTTTTCCACTAAAGCGGTTTGGTACGCGTTAGTTTCTTGAGTCCACGAAATAGCGAGTATCAATGACAGAATGTTCTAGTTCTTCTTCAGATGCTTGGCACAGGGAAAGACACTGACACCCCAGCGGTGATGTGGTAAAGTCTTTGGCTTCACACTCGGTTAGTTGTGGGTTCAGTTCCTTCGATTTGCTAGTGGGTGTGTTTCCGAGATTAATCGGGGCTCTCTCATGAGCAGCGGAGATTTGAACCTTGTACGACAGTCTCACAGGCAACTCTGAGCTGCTTAGTCAAACTCAGCCATGTGGGGGAAAAAAATGCAGTGATTTTTTTTTAAAATCACAAATATATCTGTCGACCAGACCCTCGCGTCTTCTGTTATAGGGATAATATCTTCTGTCTAAGTCCTTAAAAAAAGAAAATAGGGGTTTTTGAGCTGAAATGCTACAGAAAGATTCTCAGAACACCACGGACAAAGAAGAGAAGAAATACTGACATTTTCATCAGATCTGAATATCGAGGAAGATTGGCTGATAAACAGCATCTTGTCTCAAAAGCTGAAATATTTTGGTCATATCAAGCGCCACGACGGATTAGGGGAAAACAAAAATAGCTGAAGGCATGGTACCAGAAAGAAGGGGCAGGGGCCGGCTGCAAGATGATGGGCACAGGATATAAGTGACGTCCTGAATGTAAAAATACACTAGACCTGAGAGTTGGCGAGAGACCGAGTTTCTTTCAGGCAGACAGGGATGCGAGCTTCTTATTCTTCTTCTTCTCTTCCACCTTGTACCTCAGCGAAGTGTCGAGGGGAGATGTAACATTCGTTTATGAGCTCTGTCAAGAATACTATTAGAATTGATGTTCATTTTTGTAAGGTTGTTCTTAATGCCATCACTCCATCCTTTCCGAGGTGTTCCATTCTCTCTATTCCCGTTGTTACGTTTACGTTAGTGTGGCTCGCTGTGGCAGACAGTACCTGGGCATTCTTGTTAGGTGTCCAAACCATTTCATTTGTTGTTCTTTGATGACGTGTAAAACTGGCTGAAATGAGAGCTACATTCTGCAAAGCATTTGCTGCATTATTATTACATCTAATATCTTGCTATTATCAGCTCTGACATTCTCTAACAGAGACAAGAATGTGTATGATCTCCAACTTGTATTAGCGAAATATTGTCCATCAGTCTGTCTGGACACAGAAGAAGATCAGAGGACACTGCGACCAGTGCATGGCTGTGAGTGAGTGTAAAGTCTGTGTACTCACGGTTGTTGTAGAGTGGTGGTGTGGTCTTTAGGTCGTCGTATGTATCGGTGGCAAGCCGTACGATGTGATTGAGAATATCCGATCGTTTCCTGTAATAATAATAAAAAAAGTAATAATAATAATAATAATAATAATAATAATAATAAAAATAATAACGACGATATTTTTAAAGACGTTATTGGCTGTGGTATTTTTTGTTTTGTTCGTGTTTTCTCTTTAAAAAATCTTCTCCTTCCTCTTCGCATTCACCAGCTGTAAACTCTGGCCGGAAGTTCTGGTTGTTTATCCACTTTTGGACTGCAGTCCTGTTCCAGAACCTTAGCGTTGCGAGTGCATCCGTTTTACAAATCTTACTCATTTGTATGCAGACTGCTGGTTCTTTTCCCCTCAGGCTGATGCACTCCGAATTTGAAGGAAGCTCCCAATTAGTCGACTCTTACGACATGCTTTTGGGTAGGCAGTGGGTCTATTCTTGTTTTCCCTATAACAGGGCCCCAGAACCCACACGGTGACTCTTATGTAAATGAAGCCGCTGGAGTATATCAACCAATGAACATGGTTTACTGGACCGTGATATGATATTATAATAATTTATTTTTCGCTTTCACCGGTCGTAAACTGGTGGAAAGTTTTGGCTGTTTGGGCACTTCTGGGCTTTGGTCTTCTCCCAGAACTTTAATTTTGCGTGCTTATCCGTTCTACAGATCTGGCTTATTTGTATGCAGACCATTGGTTCCTAGATTATTAGACAGATGCATTCCGACTGTAAGGAAACGCCTCTAAGTAGTTACCTTGAACGACATGCCAGTTAGAATGGCATTGGCTATATTCTCTTCCAACTCCACCCCTCCCCCTCCCACAAATGGGTTTTCGGAACCCACACGAGAAGCTAAACTAACACTGGCTTCGTGTTGGTTCTGGGGCCCTGTTGTAGGGAAAACAAGAATGGACCTACTGCCTCCCAAAAAAAGAATGTCGCAGGAGTCGACTAATTAAGTGGCTTCTTGTAAAGTCGGAGTACATGTGCCCGAGCGCCAAAAAAAAAAAAACCAGTTGCACACAAATACGCAAGTAAAACGGATACACATACACAATTCAAGTCCTGGCACAAAACCAAAGTCAAAGCGGACGAAAAACCAGAACTTTCCACCACACCTTAAAGCTGGTGAAAGAAGAAGAAGAAGAAGAAGAAGAAGAAGAAGAAGAAGAAGAAGAAGAAGAAGAAGAAGAAGAAGAAGAAGAAGAAGAAGAAGAAGAAGAACAAGACGAACATTGCATGTCTATGCTTTAAAGTAAAGGACCTTACATACGCCTTTAGACGTATTGGGCATATAGGACTAGACCTATATTTTATAGACCAACAGGCACTCTATGCGTGATGTGGTCGGCATCACACTGGCTGCCTTTACTTCCCAGGACTTCACCTGGTACCCATTTAAGCCTGGATCGACCTGGGAGCCGAGGTCATTTAAAAAAAAAAATAAGGCCGGCTCTGTCAGGACCTGAACACACGACTTTCGGATCCCCAGGCGAGCTTACCTATACATTACTGTGAACATAATGCGCTTGATAATATGTATAATAGGTTAGTTAGTAGCGTTGCAGAACCAACCGCAGCAGCCCCTGGCTGTTGTGTGGTTTCTCTAGGCAAATTTACATCCAGTAGTTTGCCATTGCTTCTGGACGGTCGGCCCCTGATACCACTGTCGAAACCAACGCAAGGCGCATTGCCTGCATCTGGGATCGAACCCGGCATCCCTGCATTACGAAGCGTTCGCATCGACTTAGCCACAGAGCCGACTATATGTATAATAAGAGATTGTAATAACAAATTGACTAATATGATGATAATGATAATACATCAAACACTTGTGTTCACTTCTGTTACAACGTCTATGTTCTCCTCAATGTCTTCTCTGCGGAGTCGTTAAACCATCCATTCATCTTTAACCCACACAAAAAACAAGTGTCTATGACAGTTTTTTTCCAATTTTTTTTTTAAAGTCGCGGCACATATTTAAAAATTAACATTTTTCCACGGCGCCCTAACCTAAGTAAAAGTATGACTATTTGTATGTAAGAGATTTAAAAAAAACTTGTTTATCTTCGAATATTTCATGGCGCCACTGTAAAGCGATTGCAACTCCCCGGGGCGCCGCGGCGCACAGTTTGGGAATCACTGGTCTATGAACATTTTTTTTAAGCTATGGTAGACGCCGAAATAGCCGGATACATTGGCAATTTGATTACCTCTGGGTAGCAAGACTCTGCCATCTCCAGAACGTCTGACGATTACAGGAATGTATTTACGAAATCGTCTATGTTGATGGCAACAGCACTGCTAATAAATCATTAAAAGTTGTCTTCTCCAACATGTTAACTTCAGCTCTAGAGACTCGTAGTCCATGCCTGTCAATGGCAATGTGCGGTGGAGTCAGCTGGTGAAGTGTGCAGGTTGGGGGAAACCAAATCTTGACAGTTGAAAACAAATGTAGAAAATTGCGTGGGAGAGCCAGTAACCAAGTACAGAGAAGGTGTTGAGAGAAATAAAATTAAAAAAAAAAAGAAAGAAAGAAAACGGTGCTAAAAACGGTGCTAATGATTTGAGGCAGGTCAACGGAAAGTGGGGGATCCAGAGAGGGATAAAACATTATTACCTGGCCAGGGTGAGCAGACTAAGAGGCATATCCAGTTTTGTATATGAACGAACATGTGTGGTGTCAAGCAGAGTCCTGGCTTGCCGTCAGCGGCTAATATTGGCATTTAATGGAGTTTATTAAGAGAACTAGGAAATGACAATTAGGCTAGTATTTCTCGGGAAGTATGGGATGTGTGCGTGCGTGCGTGTTGGGTTGCCGTAGAAGTATATCGGGAGTCCCGTTCAGTCAGGAGAAGGAGGAGAAAATGGTTATAGCCGAGGACTGTGCGAGTAATAAGTCAGGGTCGCTTCGACAATACTATCTAGTGTAAATAGGGCTAGTCCTACAGTTTATAGACTATCAGCGCTCCATGGGGAATGTGGGCAGTATCACACAGGGGCCCTGCGAATCTGGGCCCTCTGATCACTTGAGGCCCCCGTCGCCAAGATTTGTGGGTTGTGTGGGGGGGGGGGGGGGTAAGCTTTGCCCCCCCCCCCCCCTCTACAATTCACCAAATAATTGTGTAAGGAGGTTTATTAGTCCTCTTTAATCACGCACATACATTCTCTTTAATCTGGTTGTTGAAATATATGTCATATTATTTTAAATAGACTATAAT